GACAGGATGAGCGATGAGCAATCAGATCCATTTCAACAATTCTATGATGCTCTCCCAGATCTGGAGCGTATGCTGGCTGGGTTGTCAATGTAGATATTTCTGCTAAGTGAAATATTTCTTCATTTTTTGTAAATTTTTTCTTCATTGAGCCTAGCTCGTGTTAGTTAGTCGGTTCTAGTTACCAGAACATTTCTTTGTTGCAATTCTTCCAGTTTTTATCGTATGGCATGAGTTTTTGACGCCATCTTTGCAAACTTTCATAATCAAACCTCTCTTTGCATGTTGATACTGTTGTGCGGATCATCGTTATTTCTTTTGATATTATTGTTAAGATTTATTCAGATTTTTTGATTGAATCAGTATGATGGCCCTTCTCAGTTGGTGTGGTGGCATTTATGTTGTTCATTTGCTGTGAGTATTTTTCTTGTAAATGAAGTTTTTGGATGCAAACTTTTTAAGTTACATATATCGTTGGTAGGACATCCAATTTATCTCACAATTACTGAAGAAGGCGCTGAGATATTTTCAGACTTACCTTGAACTTCTCAATGTTACCATTTTCTTGTAGTCCCTTTTCCGTTTAGCACAGATTCTTTACCGCGTTTTCGCGTGAATTTATATTATTACTTGCAGGCAAGGACTTTATTTTCAGCTCCTAACTACATATTAAAGAGTAGTAATGAGAACATATGCATCAATCGCTTCTTCTTTACAATATCTTTTATGGCTACTGCTATGTTGTAGGTCAGTCAGCTGTCGTGAAGGTAACGCCGATCGAGAATGGTTCATAAATAGCTCTTTCATGCGTCCGCCCCAGAGAACCTTGACTACCTTCGTTCTTATCTTTCACTAGACACTCCAAACTATTCCTACCCCTCCCGACTGGAAGGCTTCCAAATTAGCACTGACGGATTCAGTACTTTTTTCTAATCTATGCTCTTCTATGCTTGAACACTTCCTCTTGTAGTTCATAAAGAATCCTTTCGAATGCAAGACTCTTTCGTTACCTTTAGTTTGTACCCAGTTCTCAAAATATGGTTTGTAGATAATTGGGAATCATCCGATTCAAGAGTTCATTTCAGAGATAAGAGAACGACCTTGGAAACATATGAACCTACCTTTACTCGTTCTACTTCTCATTCCAATCTTTTCGGTCACCTTATGCCAGGAAAGACGAGAATTTCTGAGCTTACCTGAAGAGGAGGAAGAAGAAGACGACGAGGATGGTCTTGTGGAGTTGCATGAAAAAGTTAGTCCAAGTCCTTTCATAAGTAAAGTAGCAACAGGTTTTTAAACGTTCGTGTTTGAGAAGATGTTCGAGAAAATCGAGGTTTTTATGAGCTTATATTCTGATACGTTTTGATCATGCGATTTCATCTCGAACAGTATCGCGCAGTAAAGTCGAGTAGCGAATTTATAGCTGTTCGTGGCTCAGCGTAATTCGCTATTACGGGGATCATGTACTTTTGTATTTCTTAGGCAACCCGAGCTTATCATTATGCATGTGAGCATACTCGGAGGCTGTGTTGGGGGTTAAATTAAAGGGTGAAGATACCAGTTGCAAATAATTTATCGCGCCACTGTACCAGCCAATATCTCAGGTCCCTGACTACTTAAACGATTAACTCTTCCTTGTTTTGCAAAAGTGGGTCATTAGCACTGGTAGATAACCTTTCTNNNTTTTTTTTCTTTCAATCCTTCAGAGTTTTCTGAAGGTTCAAACAAAAACGCCATTAGTTTTTCAGTTCTCGAATAAGGAGACAGTCTTGGATAAAGGCGAGTACTGCGCCGTGTACAGGCTAAATTACGATTATTTTTGTCATGGAATATGGACAGGCGAGAAGCTATCAACTCATAGCCATCATTTATCAAGGATCAAGAAATTCTGTCCGACCTACAAGCATCACTGTATTGATCCTGTGTGAGTTTTAACATTGAGATTTATTTAGTTGATAATTGAGTAATCAGTTCATTTCCAGGAGTCGAAAGCGTAAAAGCAAACGTAGGAAACACTCAAAAAAAGCTCGACTTGAAAGAAAGATTCGACGCATGAGTTATGGTGAAATACTTGATGAGGTAATGATGTTTCACTATATTTTATCTGCCTTCTCATGAGTGGAAATGTAAATTGAGACATTCAATGAAGATCTGTATCATATTCGCCATTTATTGACTTGCAGAACGACTTTACTGAGCGTCTTGTCAAAATCCATGTTCCATATTTTGTGGCGCTAATTCCTGATCGTCTAGTTTCAGCTGGAAAGAATCGTACCATGTACGCCCGAGTGTACCTACCCTCACTGTACACATGAATGCAAGTGTAATTACGACTATCCAATTATGCAACGTATCTGTAATCCACCTGCTTTTTCTGAATTCCAGGGCGCTTGCAGGTTAGTTATTTGTTGGTATGATCCTATCTTAGAGTTTTCTTATTCTACTACCGTTCCCCACGGAGTCTGGTAGCCAAATAGTTGGATCTGTAAAATCGTTCACTTTTGGAGGGAATTTCGCGTTGCCTTAGAGCCGCATGTTATTTTGTTATAAGTAATTAACATAGATTACTTACTTGTGTCTCCACAAAGTGAGTTCACGGGTGCATCAGATGGTTTCTGGTGTGGTTTCCGATATTTCGACGTGATCCCACTTACACTCAACCGAATTGCCGAAACTGTACTGCCTCATTTCTTGTGTAATCAGGTGTACTCTCAAAATGATTTAGGGCTAAGGTTCTAAGAATATTTTAGATACAACTACAATGACTAAGGAAAGATCAAGACTGCAATGTAGCTACTTGAAACTAACAAATATTTACTTTATCCTTTCTCATGTTTCGACACGTATGTTACTGTTACTTGTTATATTTCATTATAACCTATCGTTTCGGAATGGAAGAACAATCGGTCTAGTTTCGTTAAGATGAATTGAATTCCATAGGTGCACCCCTTCATGACCGCACGTGGCTACACGACTGTAAATGAGTGTCACTTGACGGGAGGGTGTGGTCGAGTCTGGCCTTTGTACTCCATAGTCCCATATTATTTTTAGTTCACATAATTCAATTCGAACATTGGTCTACTCCATGATTTCAGTACTTCATAGATATAGATTATACATAATACAACTGGCAACACAGAAGAGAAGAGATATCGGGATGAGATATAGTAACGTACTACCTATAACTGTTAAAATCATTGTGATTAATCTTAGTAAACAACGTAAACGCTTTGTAAAGTGGTTATCACTTTGTCGATCCTACTGAATAAGCACCTCTCAGCCTAAGGTGGCCTGTCAGCCTATATCAAGAACAACTTGAAGGAGAGCTGCCGGCGACAGTCTATTTTCTAAAGTTAATTTGATACGGAATCTCTGCACCAACATTGAAAATCATCACGAACCAGACATAGTTACGACTGAAGGACTCACGTTACACCCAGCATGAAATTTCCGTCCGCATAGCGGTCATATGCGATCGCATGACGTAGGAGCACATGGCCAACGATTGCGATGTTAAAGACCATAGATAGTTTTCTTTCTCATGGTAAGGGAAAAGGAAGTGACGTCAGGAAAGCGGTCAGGGTATGTTCTGAAAGACTGTTGCGCGTGAAGGAAGGGAAAGCTGAGGGACAACTGGTTGGTGGTATTTGGCGTAGAGTTTACGCAATCATGCCTCACTCACTCGAGCTTTTCACACTCTACCCGAGCGATTATACTCGGCAGCAAAGCTTACAGATTACTTTTGCGCCGGATATAGCAACTGCGTGGTGGAAATTGCACATTGTGAGCGACGTTGTCACTGAGATCGGCTCGATGGTCGGATCCACAGTCGTGTAGTTTTGAGTAAACGAAGCTTTCTAGGTTTCCTTCGTCCCAGCAGAATGTCATTGTATTCATTTAACGATGTGAAGATCATATAACTTCAAAACCATTCATATCTGCGGTTAGGGATGCCTTTGGGTGCGATCGTTTTTGGATTTATTTATATGTCTTGATATCAGCCGCACTGAATCGGCGGCGATGATCGATGAGCATTTTTATGGTGGATCGAATTGTGGGCAGGAAAACCCGTTTCTATCTTTAAAGGCTACTGATATTGACCCTGAACGTGGCTACGGTGGTATCTTTGTTCGCAACATCGTTTGGTTAATGGAAATTGAACTGACAGTCCGATCTAAGTTCACATTCTGCTTTGGTTACTGTATTGCCTGTTTAGACAATTCGCTTCAATCAACTTCATCACTTATCAGACACCAGCCGCAGTCTATCTCAAAGCAAAGGAAGGCTGAACGCAGATCTAAGACAATTTCCTAACTAAATCCTCATAGTGCCACGGGTTCCTGGGTCTCTCGAGCAACAAAGTATCAGTGACAGTAACATTTTGGTATTTGTCTGTGTTCCTAGGAAAAGGGTGTGAAGTGGCATGAGGGTGAATTTGTGCCAACGAGAGGTGCAAGAACTCGGTATTCTGTACGCAGTGAGACAAACTGCAAATGATGCACTAGAAGCTTTATCATGCATTGCCTAATTCGGCTTGATCCTCTACGGATACGGTAATAGCGCAGGCTTCCTTGCTTCCTTGCCCTTCCCATATACTGAGGCGGTGACATGGTCTTTAATGATAGAGATACGTATAATGCAAGCAGATGTTTAAAAATCCTCAAACTACTCAATAGACATATATACAACACTTCAGCTGGTGAATTTCAGAGAATGGTACAGCCGGTGCCCTGGTTATCAACAACATAATTACGCCCCACAAGACAGCTATCCCATGCCTAGGAAGAGAAGACTATAGGTTTGTGAACTTTCGAAGGTTTAAGCAATCTTCTAGGAACTATTCACGGTTTCTACATCATTATCAGCCCATTAGGTGCTTTGGCGGCCCCTTATTTTCCCTTCTCCCTGGAGCTGCGTAGTTGCACCTTTGAATATCTCTACACTTCCTTAGACGGTGCTTTTCAAAAAGTGCACTTTGGCAGTTTCAAGTGGCAAACCTCTCGGATTGAGGAGAATTTAGATGGCTGGAGAATCGTTTCTGGAGTGACTGCATTTTCTGATTTTTTTAAATAAATTCTCTCCTTCCATTCAGTCTAACAGAGCAACTTTAACGGATTCGAATCTGGAAAAACTTAGCCTCCTTAGACAGTTTGGTTGGTCTGGGAATGAAATTTCTATCCCTTGCTCTCCCCAAGAGAAGACGTCGAGCAACCCTTTGAAAAATGGTTTTAGCACTTCTACTGTAAAACCAGTTCTAGTTTTACACAGACTAATCTTTGCATTTTGCTCTTGAGAAACATTCACAGTTGCTAGTGTACTCGATGCAAGGATGAGAATTCTTTTCGGAAGGTTTTTGCTTTTACGTCACGAGAAACGTTGATGTGTGATGTTTATCACAATAAACGTATCATTTGCACCTGCACTGTGGTGCACGTAGGACAAACTTGGTATTACTTATGAAAGAGGTAAAAGGATAAGACCTTCAATTTCATTTCTCGCTTATACGTATGATGTTCCTTCAGCAAAACCTTATACAACATGAGAGCGTGAGAGGCTCAGCCAAAAAAGTGCTTGAGGTGAAATGTTTCTAGTGGTGTTAATGCGAAGGGTCAGAATAAGAATAGGTTTTCAATTCATCGCCCCAGTCGCTTTGAGTATGACAGAGAATGCTGTTCGTATGATGACTAAAATGGAAATGGATATATCACCTGAACTTCAAACTGGGCACTAAAGCCAATGATTCTATGAAAGTTCTCCACTCACCTCAGTTATGTGCTTCATGTAAAGGGCCCGCTCGAACTTCTTGCAACTAGAGCTCCTGTCTATTAGGATCTGTTCGTGAACTGGTAAGTATTCATTGGGCTGAGGTTAAAAAACCTTCAAAATAGCCAGCTACTATAAAGTCAGCTGAACCAAACGTGGAGTGGTCCAGGACTAAATGCTATCCGTTTTCCCTTACCTAGACAGGTGCGAAGGCTACGTGCCGCGCTCAAAACTCAGAATAACACAAATACACCCCACTTTGGGTAACCCTGACAAAGATTCCGATTGCACGTGCAATTTTTTCTGAGTTGTACAAAAAGTTGCGTATGGTTCTATTCGATGAAGAATGAGCGGTCGTTAATCTTTTAATCTTTTGAATTTTGTGAAGGCCAGTCTTCATCTTTGGTTGTAATTTTTTGAGTAACTGCGTGACTTTCAGCAACTCCGCTCCCGTTTGTAAGCGAAACTTGACGACGGGGATATTAAGAAAGGCTGAGTCGATGGTTCCATGTTGGCTCGGTCCACGATGTGCAATAACTGGAATTAACAATCTTCCGAGAATCATCTCCGATTTGTACATAATTTTTTTNTTTTTTTATTTAAAGACTGTATACGGTTTTCGATTGCGAGATCATAAATGTATATGAAACGAACCAGCTAAGTGAATAGAATCGGGTAAAATAATTAAATTGTTTGCATCAGTCATTAGATCGGCATACGCCATGCATTCGATCTCCTATTGAAAATTTGACGTGATCATTTGTTGTAGGCGTTTAGACGCAGTTACCCTCCCATTATGCGAAGTATAGCTTAACAGTCTACAGTGATACTACCAGTGCTATCAGTGATTCAAGAGAGCTCATTTCTGCGACCAGTGATCACTGCTGCTTCTTGCTCCTGAAACAGTACTTCTCGACCTTGTCCGGACGTAGGCTGTTTTATAGGATCATTCCCCTCCACTAAAAGTATCGATATGCTCTAACTCAATAAGGTGAAAAGGAAATTCAGGAACATTACTTGCTCAACGAATGTTCGAGCAAGGATTGGAGAGCCATGCAAGTTTTTTGACTGTGGATAATTCATAGTTGGAGTGGTTTTCTATTGCAAGTTAGGAAACGAACACTCTTAATTCATAAGTTCCTGATCATAGATTAACGAGAATAGTGAAGAATGAATACTTCAATTCCAATTCAGTTTTTCCAACTGAACCTATGTCAAAGAATTGTAAATAATCTGGGACAGCTGCGAAAAACAGTTTGCTCAGTAGAACACATATCACACCTACCTAGCCTACCTTTGAGTACTTCAGTCAGCATCGAATGAGTCGGAAAAGAGAAGAAGATATGTCCTATTATGACAGAGGACAATCCTGCACGGCTTTATCGGGGTTTTAGGATCGACGTGAACCTGGTTTCATCGTCACTTGCGGTCTTTAGTTCTTTAGGTTACTTCTTTCTTAGAATTTCATCATTGTTCATTAAACATTTTATGACTATCATGAAGTGCGGTAGGAGTAGCTCCCCTGGTGGAAAAGCCACAGCTATTTCTGCTACCTGCGAAAATAGATTCTGCTTAGTAAAGATGACCAAATGGCTACATAGCAGACCAAATGGCTCATTGAAAAGTGCAGGGCATTGTAGTCTAGTAGAGCAGAAGAGAATGGACATTTTCGAATGAGAAAATGATTCAAAGCCACCACTGATCAACTATATTTTATGATACTTCCCGAATAGCTTTCTCCTTTCACTATGGGTGCATAGGTTGTGNCCCCTGGTGGAAAAGCCACAGCTATTTCTGCTACCTGCGAAAATAGATTCTGCTTAGTAAAGATGACCAAATGGCTACATAGCAGACCAAATGGCTCATTGAAAAGTGCAGGGCATTGTAGTCTAGTAGAGCAGAAGAGGGCGGACATTTTCGAATGAGAAACCTCTCGTAAGTATACAGATGAAGGTGCTAGCTAAATACACATATTTGCTCTCAGTGCTCCATTAAAGCTCATACCTACCATAATGATTCAAAGCCACCACTGATCAACTATATTTTATGATACTTCCCGAATAGCTTTCTCCTTTCACTATGGGTGCGTAGGTTGTGGTTCGTTCCACCCCCGTCAGGTTCCCAACACCTATTCGAAGCTTGAAATACACGTTTCCATTTCATTTCACACTTTCGCTAATGAATCATATACAGTGAGTGTTTGATATGCGATATGCGATATCAGCTTAAGCTGTCAAAAGATCTGTCCTTGAGCGGCAACATAGGCGCCGACCAGTCGGCATGGTCATCGTCACCTCATCACATGGCTCTTCTCCTCTCTCTTACTCCTTCTGTTTTTCTTTACCAATTTAGAGTTATACTTAGAGAACTTCAGGTTGGGCAGCTCTCAGTTAGTTCGGAAGAGGCTCTGATTTGGTTAATGATCTGGACGCTCTGCCTTATCCCTCTGGTAATGTGCCAAATCTCTCGAGGTGGGCAATCGAAACTTCTCAGAGGCAAGCCTTATCCCATTCGAACACGTCTACTTCCAGCCGATTCCATGGTGAACGTCACCGCAGCTGCATGCACGAGGAACCCTGAGCTACAGTACTGTAAGGTGAGATATTCGAAACTATTCCACTCTGGCTAAGTCTATCACTCGATGACGCAATCTTGAGCTGTTTCATTCATTCGTGTCGAGACCATTAAAGCTGTCAAGAACTGGATTATGAGCTTTTTGCAGTAAACACAATGACTGTTTATTTTATTGCTAACAAGTTTGAATTTATGTGCTTTTGCGATAGAATCTACGCGATGAAGCCTGAGATTCGGTGCTGCTTTTAACATACGTATTCTTACCAATGTTCACATTTCGAAGTTATTTCCGCGATACTGCTTCTGAGAACTTTGGCTGTAACCCATCACTTCATCGTTTCGGGCTAGTTGCCCTGAATCATCCAGCATCCTTAGGGTTAGGGCTCCCAGAAGAATGTGCAAGTGCCATAAATCTCTTCAGTCACTATGTACAATGAAGAGCTAAGTTTTCGGTTCACCCTGAGACTGGGGTATCACAAAACATTTGAATGGAAAATCCTGATGATTAGCCTACTAAAGTGTACTATTATTGTTTTTATTTATTTATTTTCACATGAACAGATCATTTAAGGGGCCAGAGAGGATGAATGACGGACGTGACGATCACAGGAAGGTTCTCTTTGATCGGCTCAAACGGATGGAATTGGACAGGGAAACCAGTCACGTTGGCATCAGAGGTCCTCAATTTCATCTTTCACTAGCTTTTCAAATTTTCCTTTTATGGTCGAATATCTAAGTAAGGATGCGATCAGAACTGCCTTCCAGTATCACTAGCCCTATAGAGCCACCTCTACTTCTCTAGAGAACACTTCAGACGAACACTGTGGAAGTAACCTATTATCAGGGAAGAAAACTGGTTTTAATTAGCCAAACTGCTTCCTTTTCACTTTGACGTAGACGTTTCCTGTTTTGAATTTATAAGTACAAGCCCCCGGTGTTGGATCCATTTCACCTTTATGTACTCAGAGCATGTAGGCCGACCAAACTTTCCAAGCAAATATGTAGCAGCTGAACTTCACAAGCTCAAATTGTGAGTAATGGATAGAGTACTTCTGGCTGTTGATAACCTCCCCCTTCTTATAGCTCATGACACACCACTGGCTGAAGAGGATCGGATCTGGCTGTCGAAAATCGCTGAAGCAGTTGAAAGGTGGGTACCGGGCATTTTTTAGTGAATTAAAAGTTCCCACATATAGGGGTTTCAGATACAAACGAGATCCATTTTCTGACATTGAAAGCACGAAAGCGCCTGAGAAAACAAACTCCACTTCCCATAACGATTCCGATTTGAGAGAAAAGGAAACTGGTGGCAATAATGATCAGGAACCTGAAGAAGGCGTGGGAATGACTTTGACTTATCGGTTGGTTGTGTCGCAATCATGATATTCCTTTACAGTTTATCCGTGAGGAAGATCACAGCAGTCACCGGCATCTCAAGGAAAAAGAAACCCATGTACATGGTAAGTTCGTCCGAATCTGTTATGGTATTTGGTAGTTCACATAAGGTTCCATTTCTAAAAAGTGGGTTCTAGCTATGAGGCTATGCATACCTTTACAGTGGAAGAAGATGCGGATGAAAGTCATGTTCCTCGTCAAATAGAAGAAACGGAAGAGAGCCCAAGAACCCGAGAAAAGGGAGAGGGTTACTGTGATCAGTACGAGCAGCACTTTTCCTTTTACTGTATCGGAGACATTGACCATACTGGGCAGCACGAAGAAGTCGGTTTCATATCTCATAAAAAATTAGGAAGGAAGGATGAGTGAAAACTTTTTCAGACCATCTCCAAATTCTGCCCGGCCTACAAAGCAGCCTGCCCGCATAAGAAAATCGCGTATGTTAATCTTATCTTCAAATAATTTTGAATTTCTTTTTCTACTACTTTTTACCTCCTAGCTCACGCCATATTTAATTACTCTTTTATATATTTATTTTTTTACTGATAACGCCTGTTGGGTGTGGAGTTTGTTCAATTGATTTGAATTGCTATCTTCTTTCTTTTGAAAAGCAAACTGATTCAAACTGACACTGATTCAGCTCTTCGGTTTCGTTGACAGCTTGGCCACGGAATCCATTCAAGAAGAAGGTTTACCTCCGTGTTCCTGTTGAGGAAAGCGGCAGTTCATCTTATGAGGAAGACAGTGAGGAGGAAGAATTGACCGCTGAAGAGGAGGAGGAAGAGAGGAAAGCTGCATACTACAAGGAGCTTAAGGTTTTTCTTATCTGACATTTCTTACGTAGCCGTTTTTGAATAGAACAGATGTGCTTACTTGATTGGATTATCATTTTCAAAGTTCCTGCGGCCACGTTTAGAGTTTTCGTCGTCTATGACGCTGTAAAAACTTTCGAAGGTGGTACCCACTATTTTCACAGATGATTCTGGGTCTGAGAGCTATCTTGGAGCAGAAATTTAACGACTTTCTCCAAGTTATCGATTCCGCGTAGAGACTTAAGGCATCCTTCCACTTCTACCCCCTTCCTCCTCCCTTCCCTGCACCCGGAGGTTCAGTTATAACAAGTAATGGTTCAGAGTGCGTATTAACCTAGAGCTTTCGTGCATTTGGGCAGATCTCACCAATAGCAGTGTATGAACAATGGAGGCATCCATTTCCTTTCTGTTGTCAGAAAACAGTCAAATCAGATAAAGACCCAATTTTTCAAAAACACCGAGAGAGCGTTTCATCGCTGTGAAAATGGCTTGTCGTACTCCGGCCATCTGTTGTCATTAAAGGGGCCTCTCTGTTTTTCAGCGTCGCTTCCCATGTAAGCCGGACTGCGACCACCGTATCTTCCCTCA